GGAGTCAAGAATGTGGAGCACTCTGCTTCGCGTGTGGTTGGGAGTATGCGGAGTTGCAGGAGGTTGCTCTTCAAGCTTGTTGGTCCATGGTTTTTTTACTAATTGCACATAATTCAATTATTATTTGTTATATTGTTTATTTTCTGCTTTTACATTCTAAATGTGTGGGTCGGGAAGAAGGTGGAAGGGATGCTCAGAAAAAAGAGATGAAGTGAGGACCTGGACTCTTTCTTGTTCCTCGCCTTCACCTCTTTCTTCTTCGTCTTCATTGCGCAGAGGTGGAGATTGGAGGTGGGGAAAAGAGCTATTGAGAGGCAGAGAGGGGGAGAAGGAGCGTGGGCGCGTGGTGAAGGTTGTGCCGCTGGTTTAGGCGCCCCAGGCGTGAAGCCACTCCATCCTGTTGGCCTGCTCGGTGGTGATCTCCGTGCCGTAGGTGAAGGGCGCGAAGTACCAGAAGTGCCAGGCGGCGACGGCGATGACGATGCCGGCGCCAATCTGCTTCGCCTTCCAGCTCTTGACGAAGTAGTCGAAGAAGAGCGCAGCGAGGAGGATGGCGAAGAAGAGCGAAGGCATGTAGTGGTAGATGAAGCACACCCTATTACACAGAGAAAGAGACGAGTGAGTTGATGCATCGTCGCAGGGTTGGAGGACAGGTTGGCCTAGTACCTAGAGATACCGATGTACGGGATCCAGTTGACGACGTAGCCGAGAAGAAGGAAGGCACCGAAGCCGAGGAAATGGGTCTGGCCTCTCGGGAGGGCGGTCTGGTTGGCCACGAAGAGGAAGTAGAAGATGTAGGCGAGGAAGAGAATGAGGACGACAGTGGTGCCCCACCACACGAAGGGGTTGCCGAAGAGGTAGACGATCTCGCGCGAGTGGTCCATGTACTTGGTCCAGTACAGCACGCCCCTGATGTTCAGCGGCCAGGTGTACCTATGTCATACGAAGAAGAAGAGCATAGCAACGAAGAAGAGACGAGTTAGGCGCGGGACCAAACCAGGCCTCGAGTCGGTGGGCGGGGATAGGTGCCGTACCACACGGAGCCCCAGGTGTGGGTCGCCGTCAAACCAGAGTTGGCGTCGTACATGGTCTTGTGGATGAGCAGAATGTTCTCGAGCATCGTGGGCGCACGCTCGTCTGTTTAACGAAGATGATGACGTGAGGAGCGCTGCCGGAAACCGCGCGGAGAGGGAAGGGACGTACGAGGCTCCAGCGTGATGCCGGTCCCGTTGAGGGTGGACAGGAACTCCCTGGACATCCAGTCATTGCCGGGACCCGAGTTGCAGAGAATGACGAAATGGAGGATCCAGCAGACGGTGTACACCACCAGGAGAAGAACAACCATCAAGATGCCTGGAAGACAGGGTCAAAAAGCAGCCCAGGGCCATCTTAACGAGTGCCTGGAGTGAGTACCTCCGGCAAGCCAGTTCCAGGCGCGAACCATCTTGTTCTTCCAGTCGTCCAGCTTCTTCTCGTCGTACTTGCGGAAGATGTGGAGGAACAAGAGCATGATGAAGCGAAGACCTGAATGGTGGAGTCGCACGATAAGCGAAGGGCCTGACGACTGGATACACCAGAACGCGCGCATAAATACAAGAGGAGAACCCGTACCGATGATACCGACAGTGCCGACACCGGTCCACTTGACAGAGCACAGACCGCCCATGGAGAGACCACAGGCGACAGCCCAGAACCACCACTCGCGAGGGAAGAGCACCGAAGGCGCGTTGGCCAGCGAGATGTTATACGAAGGCTCGGTGTTACACACCTACAGCGTAGGAGGAGCACTCGTGAGAACAAGAAGGCGCAAGCAAAGAGAGCAAAGTAGAAGGAGGAGAGGTGGCGCACCTTGAGGGAGGTGTAGACACTCATGCAAAGGAAGAAGAACAGGAAGGCGTCGGTGAAGACGAAACGGGAGATGCAAGCAAGTCCGTTGTCGAAGACCACCAACGCTCCAGCGATCGCGGAAGCCGGAAGGGAGAGTCCCATCTGCTCGGCCGAGAGGAAGATGATGGGTGCCAGGCACGAGCCGAAGAAGGCGTGGGTGCCGCGCATGTAGATATACTTGTGATCTTCAAAATCCATTCCAATGTTGGCCCACGAGAACGACGTGTTGAACCCAACAAGGTAGCCCGTCGTGGCGAGGAAGTACTTGCCTGGAATTCACCAAAAAGGAGAGATTGAGATCGATCGAGTAGCGGCTGATTGACACAAGACGGCGCTGGTGAGAGGGAAGGCGTACCAAGAGGAGGGTGAATGTCGAAGAAGTACTTGCCATCGATGTAGTTGTTGGCAAAATGGCCAAAATGCACTTCATCGAAGGACACTTGCGCCGGGTGCTGGATCAGGTAGTAGCGAGTGAAGAAGGACAGGACGACGATGGTGAGCAAGACCGTCAAGCGATACTTGGCCAGATGCGGGGGCGCAGGTTGCGGGAAAGGCTCATTCTGGTAGAACATGTTTAACGACACCGGCGCAACGTCCTGCTCCTGATCAGAGGAAAGGGGAGATCAGAAGCTGATATATAACAGCAGATCAACAGATTTTGAGGCTGTTGATCTGGATGATTTGTCGTGTAGAAATGATTTGTTTTTGTTTTTACCTCGGTGGCTTCCTTGTGCTTTTGTTTCCTGGCCTTCTTCGATGACTTGGTGTCTACCACAGGTGACGATGTGGAGGCAGAGGAAGTGGTGGATGAAACGGTCTCACTGCCCTCAGTGCGATCGCTCGAGATTTTCTTCTTCTTGGGGCCGCGTACGGACATATGAGAGACGATTAACGTCGGTTGGGGCTAGCGAAGAATGGGGAAGATGGAGGAGGATGAAGAAGAGCGAGGTGAGGCTGCTGATTCACAACCTTCTGCCGCGCCAGTGTTTAACACAACTGCCTCGGTCGATTCGCTCTCCAGCCTGGCTTCGCGCACTTCGCCGCTGACGCTGTCACAGGCGCTTCTCGGTTCACCAAACCTCAATCGGCTTGGTCGCGGGAAACTGGCGGAAAAAAGGGCCACGGAGGGAAGGCCAAATTGCTGATGGGCGTACCAGGGAAATCCGGGGCATCGGGGATTGACCGGCTTTGAGAGGGAGAACTGCGCCAGCAAACTCGCTGGTGGCCACAACACAAGATCTGCTGGGAAGGGCTGTTGCTACCATCTTGATTTTTCGATCATTCAACAATCAAACAACAAAATGGTGAGTGATGATCCTGCCCCTCGCTGCTGGATGGAACCTTTTCTTTCTCATGCCAACATGGACCCTTCTCTCTTTCAAAAAGGCGACCTCTGTACCGATTCTGCGTAGGGAAATCAACCCGCTGCGTGAAGGCGCCACTGCCGTGACGGCCCAATCCGATGTTCCCATCGTGCATCCCCTTCAGGCTCGTGAGCTCAACGTACGTGTGACCCCCCCCCCCAAATCGAATCGGCCTGCTGTAACACCAAGCTCCCCTCTGCACGCTCCGTATACAGTTCGCCAAGAACGAAGTGCAGTTCAAGAGAGTGGCCTTGCAGAACGTGTACGGTTCGCATCTGTCCATGAGGCTCCAGATGGAGGAGAGCATTCTGTCCAATTTCCAGCGACTCCCCACCCTCAAGAGCGAATTTGTGGGTTTGTCCACCAGCCTGGGACTTGACGAAGAGATTGGCTTCAGCGACTTCCTCAGGGGTACGCTTCGTCTGTGCCACTTCTCTCTGTTACCGCAAGGCCTTGTTACTGACGTGTGCTCCCTCGCTTCTCCTTTCAGATCCTTCGGCTCCCGAGTCTGCCATCGATCTGCACGAGGTGATGGAGCACCGTCTTGGTTTGTAAATGGCACACACACAGCGAGGTCGCACCTCTCTTCTCCTCTCTTCCTTTTGTTCAAAGAGTCTAGACGTTAGATAAACACGCTTTTCCTCCTCATCAGTTTGGGCGTGCACGCTCTCACACCCTCTGCGCCATCACTAAGCCGCGGTTAAGAACACGACACAGAGGACTCGCGACTAAGTGCCCACTTGACCAAGAGGGCGAGCCAACTTCATGAACGGCCGCAGATAGCTGATAGGTCTATTTTGAGTCGACCAAAACGTGTTCGAAGAAGGCGTTTCCGTGCGAGCTAGGACAGAAGTCACTGCCGAGGCTGATGCAAGAGTAGTACTCTTGGCCGTGGTCTCTCGTGGCTCAAGGATGGATGGTGCAGGGGTAGCTGACGACCTGGCTTCGCTCACCACGGCTGTGGTGGCGGGCGACGAAGATAGAGTGCAGCAGCTGCTCAGCCGTATGCCTCTCTTTTGTCATCCCCCCCTTCGGGCGTTCAGGGGCTGAGTTCATTTTTCGTTGCACGCGGCAGAAGGGTGCGACATCAACCGGAGGGGCGAAGGCAGGCCACTCCTCGTGGCGGTCAAGTGCGAGAACCTGGCCATTGCGCAGCTGCTCATCGATCATGGTGCTCGCTCCATGAAGCACCGCAAGCGATCAGAGCTGCATGCGCTGGCCGAGGTGCAAAGCGGACCATTCCCTCGCCAGGTACTCATGCGCACCACTTCCAAGTTGTTCTTCTGCGGGGTCCGTGATGGTGAACTTCTCTTCTTGGTCCATGGTGATGCAGGAGCCCACCACTGGTGGCTCTGGGTGGCTCACGCCGTCGCCCTCACCTTCGCCACCAGTTGCTTCGGTCCAGCTGTGGCAGCTACTGATGAATGCTGGAGCGAGCCCGTTTGCGTGGGTGCCCTGTCCTACATCTGATTGGTTTCTGACTGGGCTGACTTTGAATCTGTTCATCGCAGCTGTGACCGTAATGGAGTGACCCCATTTCACTTGGCCTGCGCGAGGGGCAACTGGCCCGTGGTTCAGTTCCTCTTCCAAGGTACTCTGTTGCGCGCTTCAGCCCGAACGGACCAACTCGGAGGGCTGAGAGTGAGCGTGTCTATCGACTGCAGAGTGCAGGCGTGTGAATGTCAACAAGGCCGACAAGAAGAACGAAACGCCACTCCACCACGCAGCCCGAGGTGGTCACGAGGCAATGGTGTCTCTGCTTCTCGACCATGGGGCCTATCCGCTCGCTGTGGGCAAGCAAGGCACTGTGTCGGACGTACGATTTCCTTTTCATTTCTTTTGATACCATCTTTGTTTTTTGTTTTTTCAAATACCGGGAGCTAAACAAGCTCGTTGCAGGTGGCCAGACAAGCAGGACACATGGCCCTGGCGCGGTTCATAGAGGAGCGCGGATACCAAGCGTGTCCCATGCTGTTCATGCCCTTCGACGTGCTGGCGCACGTCATGGCCCAGCTCGACCCGTACGACCTGTGCCTCGTCGCACAAACCTGCACGGTACTCCGCTCCCCCCCCCCGGAGGGGTAGCTTCGCCCAGTTATGTCACATTCTAACGCCAGGCCGCACACGACAGACGTTGAACGAAGTGAGCAGCGCCAACTGTGTGTGGCAGCGCTTCGGCGATTCGCGGTGGGCGAGCAGCAGCAGCAGCGTGGCCAAAGGAGGAGGAGGAGGAGCACAATGGTCGTGGAAGGGACGCTACATGACCTGGCTGCGGCCTCGCCTCCAGACTTATGCACGTGAGCAAAGCACGTCGTGTCATCGCTTCCCTCGCTCCCTACCTTCATCATCCTCATCGCCCGCCTCCTCACGTGTGTTCAGAAGCACAACGAGCGGCGCACCAACACAAAGCTACGCCGAACGTAGCACAATACGACTACCTCTTCAAGTTCGTCATCACTGGCGACTCAGGTGCGTGTTCACCCCCCCCCCAATGGCAAAGCCGACTATGAGCCGAGCCAAGCTGACGATGAGTGCGCTCCTCCTCCCGTGACTAGCGGTGGGCAAGACGTCGCTCCTCTACCGGCTCACCGACAACGTGTTCTCCACCGGCTGGCTGACGAGCATTGGCGTTGACTTCAGGATCAAGACGATCGACCTCCAGGGGCTGCGCATCAAGCTTCAAGGTACTCGCCCCCCCCCCCGGGTCACACAGGCAGACAAGCGTCAGAGAAGCTGACGCGCGAGGGAGAACCACAGTGTGGGACTCGCCTGCCTACCCGCGCACGTCGAATATGGCAAGGATGTACTACCGCTGCGCCTCGGTGATGGTGGTGTACGACATCACGTCCCGGGAGTCCTTTCACAACGTACGCAAGTGGGTGGCCACGTTCATGGAGAATTGCACGAGCGACGATGGCCAGTCGCCAGTGTTCTTGATCGGTATACCGCCCAACGCCATGTGTGGGTATGGTAACTTGGTGGTTGGGCGACCTGAACTCACCCCGGGCCGGGCCTTGACCGATGCAAACGTCGCACCAGTGGGCACCCAGAACGATCTGGTGGCGCGGCGGTGCGTGTCGCCCGAAGAGGGCCAAGCGCTGGCGCAAGAGCTGGGCGCCGTCGGATGGCATGAAGTGAGCAGCTTGAACGGGAGCGGAGGTACCGCTTGGCCCTTCTTCCCTAACGACCCTGTCTTTGCTCTTCGTTCATTTGTCATCATTTTCTCACTCATGCGCCACACACTCGAATATCAGTGGTCGAAGCCTTCACCCACCTGGCCGAGGTCACGCTGACCAGGCGCCAGCCATTCGCTTGCCATCATGGGTGCCATGTGCCCTCCGAGGTGCTGCTGCAGCGGCTCTACGCACAATCCAGCACCTGGCGCAAGGCCGCAGCCGCCGCACAGGCCGCCGCTGAAGCACAGACCTCGGCCACAGTACGGTGCCTGCTCCAGTGAGCGCGCAAGAGGCATCACCACAAGAGTGGACAACATCAAAAGATGGCTTGACCTGTACAGACACGAATCTTGTTATTGGATGACCGCACAGTCTTTCTGCCCTAAGGGCAAGTTGCACCTGGGACATTGCCTTGGGGCTGGGGTGTGATGACGAGTGGCTGGTTGTTGTTCTGAAGTTATTCATGAAGCCACCTTTTCTGGTAATGCAGGTTGATCACAGCAGGGAGGCTCTCAAGGGCTGTCTAATCAAGATTGAAACATGCCCAGTCAAGCAATGACTAAGGGGAAATAAGACGCAACAGACGAGTGCATGTACCAGGATCTCAGCCTCTAGGTTCATCTTAAGATCGTCACGTGTAGCCATGGTGGTGCTCTTAAGCCAGAGAGCAAAGCCACCCAATAGTGCTGCGAGTGAGGTGCCTGTTGAAAGCATTAGACTATGGTGCAAGTAGTACAACCTATCCCACATAATGCCTCTTCTGGTCTAACCACAACGAGGAGCCTGGTTACCCAATGCAACACCCGCCGCGCCTACAGCGACTCTACACACAATCCAGCGCCGGCCGCGCAAGTTGTTGGTATGGTGATGGAACGGGGGTGGCTCTACTGCTGGCTTTGTGTTGGGCGTCCACACAACGCACAAAGTTATATAAAGTACACGCGGAGGCTTCACGCACGGGAAGGGGACACGCTCACGGTCGCGGGCGCGTCGCAGGCGGCTGGGTGGTTGTGGTGGGAATGTCGGAGCTGGCGCGCAGGCCGAAGAAGGCGGTGGTGCCCTTCCGCTGGCGCTCTGCCTCTGAATCTGCACCACCTCGCGCGCTGGCGCTTCGCTTCGTTGCCGGCGCCCAACCTGTCGTCGTCGCCGCCGGCGCAGTTGATGACGTGGCCGTCGCCGATGCTGGTGGTGGTGACGTCGGGCGAGCGGATGATGACGACGACGTGGAGGGCTTATACTTGACGAAGGTGGTCTGGCGGGGAGTCGACAGCTCAGCCTCGGCCGGCCGTGGCTCGCTGCCGCTGCCGTCGCCACTGTCTGGTCCGCTCGCGGTGGTCGTCGGCGTGCGCGCGAAGTTGGCGGAGTTGGCCCGCAGGAAGCTCTTTCGGCTGCCGGCTCTCTGTTCGGTCAGCGTCAGCTTGAGCTCCGCTTCGCCCCACGACCGGTTCGTCTCCTTGCTGGCCTCGCCGCTACCACGACCGCCGCCGCCGCCAGTGGTGGTCGTGGCCTCGCTTGGCTGTTCGTCCTTGGGACTGTGGTGATGATGGCCGCGGTTGGCCTTCTGCTCGACCAGGCGCTGCACCATCTTGCCCAGGCCTTTGCGGTCCTGCGGCCGAACGATCATCGACGACGACAGACGGCCCTTCGACATGTTCTCCACCACTGCCGACGATGCCGGTGATGCCGACGCCGCTATCGATGACGACGAGCTGAGTGGCGACAAGGTGGGAAGGCTGTCGCTGGATGTCGTCGTCATCGGCGTCGTCGAGTTGGTGGTGGTGGCGGTGGTGTGGAGGTTGATGAAGACCTGAGGGCTGGCGAAGGCCGACGTGGGTTCGGCCTGGCTCTCGGCCGCGGCGCTGGCGATGCGCGTGGAGAGCATGTGCATCCAGTCGCGCTTCTCGTCGTCGCTGGCCGCGAAGGCGACGATGCGCAGTGGCTCGCGCGCGTGCTGGACGCTGAATGCGTGGCGTGCCATCTTGCCCGCCTCGTGGGCGCCCTCCTTGATGTCGCTCAGCACCGCGGCCGCCAGCGGAATGCTGTGGAGGTACATGCTTCGCTCCACTTCCTGCTCGCAACATAAAATAAAATTAATGTAAGTTTTCCTAAATTATAGGAAATAATTAATTTAGGAATTCATTATTTTTTATTTTTACCTTATTAATGTTGTAAAATTGAAAGGTGGTACCTTTTTGACGGGTTGGGTGAGAATGAGAAGGTCGGAGAAGAGGAAGAGGAGTCGCTTGGCAAACTTCTCCCGGTTGACCGACACGTGGAATCGGCCCTCCTGGACGAATGCTCGTCCTGTGCGTGCGTTCCCTCGACGTCAGCGCACACGTCACGCGCGACACACACGCCGCCGCACGCGCACACAATCGCACACGCCACCGCACACATCGAACGTGTAATCAGATAGGATACCTTTCTTGATGAGGTTGCTGCCGGCGGGCAGGATGATGCGACTCTGGATCTCGATGAGCACCTGGAAGTTGTCGACGATGCGCTTCTTCTCGTTGGCCTTGGCGATCATCTTCCCGATCTCCGCCTGCGCCTTCTGAATGTTTTCGTAGTCCGGATCGCTCGCGTCCATGTACGATATGATCTCCTGCTCGTCCATCCGCAACGTCAACCACACGACACGCACGACACAACGACACGACACGACACGACACGACACACGCGCGTACTCTAAAAAGAAGTGGGTATTTGGTGACGCGTTGGAAGGGCTTGATGAGGAAACTCGCGATGTCGAGCCGTCGGCAGTCCTTGTGCCGCTTGGCCTCGTCGCAGAACTGGGCGAACTCGGATCGCTCGCCCTCCTCTTTTCGGCGGAAGCGCTTGCTGAAGGCGAGGGAGCCGGTCGAGTTGCCGTCGTCCTTGTCCACCGCCGTGCCCAGCGCTTTGTCCAGGCTCTCGGTCGCCATCTGCTGGTGCGTGCACAGCTTCTCGTACTCGCGCAACGACGCCATCTGTCATCAACGCACGTCAGCGCATGCACTGCGCACACAACACCGCACGCACCGCACACGACACGCGACACACGCACGCGCCACAACACGACACAACTCGTACGTGGTCGAGGAAGATTTGGCCGACGTGAGGAGCTCGCTTGGAGGCGAGGGCCTCCTTCCACGCATGGTCGAGTGCCTGGTGGAGCGCCTTGCTCCCGTGCAGTATCTCCTCCACGTTGCCGAAGATGAGGCGCAGCTCCTGGTCGTCGAGTATCTTCACCTTCTGCTCCTCGTCCGCCAGGTTCCGTTGAATGGGCACCAAGAACACCTGCGCGCACAAACACACCTTTTCAGAACCGTGTCGTGTCGTGTCGTGTCGTTGGTCGCTCCGTACCCGCACGAGAACGTCGAGGTCGTGTATGTATTCCTTTTCGGTGAGGATGAGCTCCTCGATGGCCAGGTTGCGGCGGTACATTTTCTTCTCCTCAGGCGACATGTCCTTCATGTCCAGCACCGACACACGAGCTACTCGCCGCACACACAGCGCACGTGTATAGATGAGCCTGTGCTTGTGTGTGTGTTGTGTGTGTGTGTGTGTGTGTGTGTGTGTGTGTGAGGAGGTCGTACCGCGCAGAAGCGCGTACATCTCCTTGCCCGCGGGGCCGAGATTGGCGGCCATCTGGAGCGGCGAGGGCACCGAAGGCGTCGAATCGATGCGGGGATCCATCCCCTTCTCGAGCAGCTTCTCCACAATCACCTTCTTGTTGGCCATGATCGCATAGTGCAGCACCGTCTCTCCGAGCCTGCAAGCACGCCAGACCTTAGTTTTCTTTTCCTTTTCTTTTCTTGCAGACCACACGGTTGAAGATTCGTGTACCCGTTGGTAATCGATGGGTCGGCGCCCGAGTCGATCAGCACTTGGGCCACTTCGTAGCCATCGTGGAGTGCGGCCAAATGCAGCGGCGTGTCTCCGTTCCTGGTCGGAGTTAAAATCTGCTTGAATCGCTGGAATGGGAGAGGAATGGGCGGGTACCTGTTGGGCTGGTTGACGTCGACGCCGCCCTTGAGGAGGCACAGGACGGCCCCGCGGATGTGGTCCACGGTCTCGCGGTTGTATTCGATGGCCTTGCGGCAGACCAGGTAGTGCATTGGCCGCGTGCCATCCAGATTGGCTGCCGACGGGTCGGCTCCGGAAGACACTGCCCGATCGCACACCAAACGCACAACACCACCAAAAATGCGTCAATAAATGGACCAGCCTAACGTCACACGGCTTGCTGGACGCCAGTGGTCAAGTCGTACGCAGGAGCCAAATGAGATCCTTGTGGGCATTCTCCATACACGCATCTGGGTGTCGTGTGTCGTGTCGTGTCGTGTTTCGTGTGTTTCGTGTTAAGAATTGTCTGCGACAAGGAAGAGGAGGGAGCACCATACAGTGAAGTGCAGTCCACCCGTTGGAATCAGCTTCGGTGACACTGGCTCCCGCGGCGATAAGCGCCCGCACGACCTCCACATTGGTCGCATTGCTGCACGCCATATGCAGCGGTGTTTGGCCCTGTGCGGAACACAACACGGCCCAGTCAATTATAGCTGCGAGCAGGCGAAAACGTTGAAGGCGTCGCGATGCGGCGTACGGTTGTGTCTTTCTCGTTGATCGATGCGGGTTCCTCTTCGAGCTTGCGGCGGATGTCGGCGAGCGAGGCCCGCTTCTGGACGAGCACCGGCAGCGCTGGCAGCGGCGGAAGCGGCACGGGCGCCGCCTCCTCCTCTTCCTCCTCGGCCGCGTTGCTCGCCGGTTGTGCGGCCTCACTCCCCAACCGGCGGTGTTGCATCTGTCATTCACCCGTCAGTCACGCAACACGACACACAACACGCACACATGGTACACTGATCGCACACACCACACCACTGCCACACACACACACAAAGCACGCCCGCACGCAGCGAAGAACATACGCGACTGCGAAGGTTGGTCGAGGAGGGCGGCTTGCGGGTGGGCGTGGAAGTGGAGGAGTTGAGGGCCTTGGTCGCGGAGACGGCGACCTCGATGAGGGCCTTCTCCAGCTGGTCGTACCGCACGAGCAGCTCCTGCAGCCCCACTGCCTCCTGTTCCAGCATGGCGCCCGACAGCGCAGCTGCGGCACCACCGCCGCTACCAGCTTGCGTTGTAGAGGAAAAAGATGATGAAGATGAAGAAGTAGAGGAAGATGATTGGTCCACGTCGGACGTAGCCGGTGCTGTTGGTAAAGAGGAAGGAGAAGATGAAGATGAAGAGGGGTAGAAGAAGATTGGGAGGCGAGGGAGAGTTGGATGTGGAGGTGTTTGATTTGTTCATCTTTGACGCGCAGCAGTTCGGCCTGTACGCGCAGCTTCTCCAGCAGCAGCTCCACGCGCAGCGCTTCGCCTGGCGAGGCACTGGTGGTCGCGGTCGCAGCACTCAGGGGTCCATCTTCCAGTGGGGCAGTTGCTTTTGGGCTTGTTGGAACGGGACAAGCCGTCAGCACCGGCGAAGCGAGTGGTGACGGTGCCTCGGCTTCGGCCAGCATCATCATCCTCAACAAAGTTTGGGTTTGCCGCCAGCTTCGCGTGCGAGTTACCCACTTAATTAATTTTATTCTACCAGGTATTACCGTAACGGAAAATTATCCACCAGTCCCAGCGCTGCCAACCTGGCTCGCGGTGCTTTTCAAACCCTTGCGTGCTCTGACCAACCAACACAACACGAAGAGAGCTGCGGAGCACTGTGCGCGAGTGGAGTGTCTGTGTCCTCACGCGGTCTGAAAGGGTCGACAACTTTTTCGCAAGCCAGACACCAAATTTCCAATCACCTCTCGTTTTCCGGTGTTTGCCCACGTTCTTTCTCTTCTTGCGCTCTTCTTTCTTCTTGCCTCTCGGAACAGATTGAATCAATCAAACTCTCCTGCTCGTCGGCTTCGTCTCTCCTGTACACATAAACGTTAAATGGGCAACTCCGTGATGCGAATGTTGACGGGACGGCAGAAGGTTCGCGTCCTCATGTTGGGCCTCGACAACGCCGGCAAAACAAGTTATCCCCCCCTCCACTCCGCCTTCGTTTTCGTTTTCGTTCTTTTTTTATTCATTACTTTATTTAGCTAAATATCAGCTCACTGTGTTTGGCCAAACAGCGATCGTGCACCACCTCAAGGGAGAGCAGGAGTACGAGAGCATTCCCACCGTGGGCTTCAATGTCGAGACCATCAAACTCAAGAACATCGCCCTCAACGTGTGGGTGCGAGCACACCCCTCTTTTTTCCGGCGCGCTTCATTCGCCAGCCCCGACACACCACGCGATCTCTTCTCTGAACCTCGGCGCGACGTGGCTTTCATTCCGCTGCGCACGTGCTGGGACAGGACGTGGGCGGCCAAGACAAGATCCGACCTCTCTGGCGACACTACTTCGTGGGCACTGGTAAGCAGCTCATCTCATCTGAACACGTGTTGGTGTTGGTGTTGGGTGGCGATGGTGGTGTTCTGTGTTGCGCTTTGCCCACAGACGCGCTGATCTTCGTGGTGGACTCGAGCGACGTGGGACGTATGGAGGACGCCAAGAACGAGTTCCTGCGAATAGTGGACGACGCCGAGATCAAGGACGCGTCGGTGCTGGTGTTCGCCAACAAGTGCGATCTGCCCAAGGCGGCCTCGGCCGCCGAGGTGGCCGAGCTGTTGGACCTCGGCCGGCTGGCGCAGGAGGGCCGAGCGGTTCACGTCCAGTCGGCCTGCGCCCGCTCGGGCGAGGGCCTCACCCAGGGCATCGACTGGCTCACCGAGCAGCTCCTCGCCAGGAGCAAGAAGACCAAGAAGAAGTAAGTGCTCACTCGTGTGCACATTCATCATCATCCACACAACACACATGGCGCCTAGTCCTTGTGACTGTCGTCGCTGGTGCTGGTGCTGGTTGTGTTGGTGTCCGCGGCGCTGCTGGTGCTGGTACCGACGTCGACCGGCCGCTCGGCGAGGCTAGCGGGCGTGAGTCGCTTCTTCTTGACCTCGTTGAAGTCCTCGTAGTCGTAGCTCTCGGGCCACAGGTCGATCCGCTGCACCGTGCACACCCGGCTATCGGTGTTGACGACGAAGGTGATGTTCATCACGTCGATCCGCACGTCGTAGGTGCCCTCCCTGTGCTTCCGCTTCATGTGGAGCGTTCGGATGTCGAGCGCGAGCACCTCCTCGATACACCGCCTGGCCCGCTCCCAGTCGTTCTTGAAGAAGCGCAGCGCGTGCGCGTGACGCTGCAGGCTCTCGACGGCCTCGTTCGACATCTGCACCTGCAGTCGCCCGCTGCCAGACTCCTCCTGCTCGTCCTCCTCGCCGTCTTTCTTCTGCTTGCCGTCCAGCTCCACGAGCCACTCGGCCGTGATGGCGTCGGTGATGGCGTCGTAGCGCGGAATGTAGGGTTTGATGTCGAGCACGGGCGTGTTGTTGACCAGGTCGACGCCCGACAGGTGCAGCGTCTCGCCCTCGATCGACTCGACGCGGGCCACGCTCAGGCCGATTGGACATGGGCGGTGGGGCGTGCGGGTGGCCAGCATGCCGAGCTTGCGCCCGCCGAGGCGCGGCGGCTGTACCCGGTTCTTGGGGTTGCCCACGTTGTTGTGGAAGAGGAAGACGATCCACACGTGCGAGTGGCCCTCGAGCCCGATCAGCGCGTCCTTGGGATTCGTCAACACCTCGGACCTGTTGCGTGTTGCGTGTGTGTGTGCGTGCGCGCGCCATGTGGTTAGCGCGAGACTGAAGTTGAGGCGACTGATGAAGATGGACGGCACCGGCGTAGCGTGAGCTTGCCGCGCGACGAGGGCACGAGGAGGCCTTGGCGCGGGGTGCCGTGTCGCTCCAGGAAGCACGACTCGAACAGGCCGATGGGTTGGAGCGGCACATGGTCGAGTGGCGTCAGCGCCTTCTGCTTCTTACCCCTCTTCTTTCCCTTCCTCTTCTGCTCCTGTGGCTCCCCCTCGCTCTTGGGCTCGGATCGTCGCCGCTTGTGCCCAAGCTGGGCAGCGCCCTCCTCCATCGTTCCGGTCTCTTCTCGTGCCAGCACCTCCGCCCCCTGTGCTTTGATCTCTCGTGCTTGGCCGACTTTGAATTGGTGAAGATGTACGCCGCAGATGGGCCAGCCGAGCCACTCGCCCCCTATGCCGAAGAATTGGAGCTCGGCATCGCTCATTTGAACAACGGGAGCGGGAGGATTAGGACGGGCGGGGGCACAAAGAGGGCATGCCCGCCCTGTGCTGGTGGCCTGCGGCTGTGCCGCGGCAGTCAAATCGAGCTCCATCTCCATTGAATTGAATTTTACCTTCTTTCCCGCCAGTCGCCAAACCGCTTGAAGCGGAGAAAATCTCTTGTCCGCCGCCAAAACAATGCACCACGTACGGTGATTCTGCCCTGTCAAGGTTCTCTATTCAAACCCTCAATCGACACATGTGAGTGATTCCTCAAAATAATCACCAAAATAACGTAATTTACCTATCCATTTAACTATTTCAACAGAATTTTGAAAAGATTCTCATTCATTCGTTCACTAATAGGCATGCGGCCTTCTTCACACATGTCCCGCTTCGATGTGTCGATCTGCTTCCGCCGAAAGTGTCTCGGCTCTTTATGCTGTCGGCGACAAGCCGTGGCATGCTTGGCATGTCATCCTAGGGTCGGAGGCCTCGACCGCTTGGTGGTCGGCGATAGGGCTTTGGCGATGCTCGATGGCGCCGACCACCAAGGTATATAAGAGGATGGCCGCTTGCAGACAGCAATCACTTCGCAACAAACTCAAACGCTAACCAACTTCATAGCCCAGAAGCACTCGTAGCTTACAACCATGGCCACCATCCCTACGCCCTCGCTCCCCTTTGTCGAGACCAAGCTCAACTTCCTGCCGCCCACCGACGCCAAGCCCTTCGTGCTCGTCGATCCTGCGGCCAATCCCTCGCTCCCGCGCACCAATTTCGAGGAGGAGTGGGTGCCGGCGCGGGTCTACAACGCTCGCCCGCTGCTCGAGCAGGGCAGCGCCGACGAAAAGCCGACTCTCGACCGGGAGGGCTTCACGCTGGAGCCCCACAACACGCACGTGAAGGACTTCTACGATGACGCCCATGTGCAGGAGCACTACTACCCCGAGGTGATCGAGCTGGTGAAGGCCATCACGGGCGCCAGCGACGTGCAGGTGTTCGACCACACCGTCCGTGCGCCCAAGGAGAAGGGCCGTCGCGAGGCCGTGCACCGGGTGCACAACGACTACACCGTCAAGTCAGGTCCGCAGCGCGTGAAGGACCTCACCAGCGACCCGGAGAAGCTGGCCACGAGGCTCAACAATCGCTTCGCCTTCATCAACGTGTGGCGGTCCATCAGCGCGTCGCCCGTCGAAGAGCTCCCGCTGGCCGTCAGCGACGCGCGCACCATCAAACGCGAGGACTTCGTCGCCACGGACCTCGTCTACAGCGACCGCACGGGCGAGGTCTACTCCGTCCGCCACCAGCCCGACCAGCAGTACTACTACTTCCCGCACATGCACAAGAACGAGGCGCTCTTGCTCAAGGTCTACGACTCGGTCGACGACGGCGAGACGGCGCGCTTCGTGGCCCACACCGCCTTCCGCGACCCGACGTCGCCCGCTGACCCGAAGCCAAGGGAGAGCATCGAAGTGCGCACCATCGCCTTCTTCGCACCCTCCTCCCCGACCATCGAACACCAGTAGAACACGACATAGCCCGGGCCAACCAGAACCTTAGTTCCTAAGTGTAAATAAAACCTTCTCTAACGGCCTTATCAACCAAAGGTGTCGTGACCACCGTCTTCACGTGCCGCTGATGAAGGTGGAGAGGATTGGGTGCTAGAGTGCGCGGATATTTCCTGGCGCGGTGGGTGAGTGCGCCACCACAAGACTGTCATGAGAGCCATGGGAGACGTCGTGCGGTATCACCTTCCTTTACTGTTGGGCCGCTTTTCCTCAACCTCTTCACCGGTTTGCCCCCTCTGGACTTCAGATTCGCGCTCTTCCCCGATTAATTGATTGTATCAAATCTCCTCTCTACCTGCAACGTGACCTCTCGACGCTGTTACGCGCATCGTCCATGGACGAAGCAGAAGCAGAACATCACCAACAGCAGGCCAAAGGCGACGCGGACTTGCCAGCAGTAGAACAGAGCAAGGCGCTGCACGATGAAGACGCCGAAGAAGGGCCAACCAACCATTCATCGCCAGCTTCTTCGCCCTCTCTCGATGAGGGTACTTACTTACACACCTGACTGCACCCACCGTCACCGCAGTACTGGCTGACGCCTCAGGGCCAGGTCGCGAAGAGGCGGATGCTGCGCTCGCGCCCGAAGGGCAAGGTAGAGCACCCGATGGGGAGGAGAGCAGCACGGCGGGCTTGACCAGAGAGCAAGAGCAACTGCTGTCGATGCTCAACGATGTCGTGGTGGAGAACGACGAAGAAGAACAAGAGGAGGAAGGGAAGAACGAAGAAGAGGACGGAGGAAAAGACGATGAAGGTAAAGAAGAGGAGGAGGAGGAGAAAGATCTGGTCGACCTGGTCGACTTGGTCGAGGAGGAGCAAGGAGAAGAAGACATGGAGCTGGAGATCGAGGAGAAGGAGAAGAACTCGGAGCTCGTCGAGGAGCCTCGTTGGGCAGGCCTGCTGCCGAAAAAAGAGGTGAATGACGAAGGAGGCGATCAGTCCGTGCCTGCGCCATTCTTCATCACCAAGAGCGAGAACGATGGAGAAGAAGAGCAGCGCAACCCAGACACACAATCGGCGCGGCCGGGCGCCGCAAGTGCCACAACAACTCCAGAGCACGAGTGGTTGGCCCAACTTCCGTCCTTCGTCGGTGCGCGCAGCGCCTCCCACCCTAACAGCTCTAACATTCGCAATCAATCATGGTTTGACGATGATTGTACTGATACTGTTCCCCCCCTCTCTTTGGTGCATAGCGCCCTACGCGCAGCGCCCGTCGCAGAGAATCGAGCAACAAATCGAGCACCTACGGATCGTTGAAGGGGTGCTCAGCGCTGTAGGCCAATTCGAGGACGCTCTTGCATACTTCCATACACAGAGGCACGCTGACGCAATGTGCAATATTTGTGATTGCAGATGCACCGACGCTCACTCTCTTGTTTATTCATTTGTCCAGGGAAGAGCTCGTGGAGCAGCTCAAACAGCGGAAGGAGCGCTTTGCTCTGTTTATGGCCAACCCGCAAGCCAGCGCAGTTGCCTTGGGTCTCACTCCAACGCTTCTCAATTATCTTCCTCGCCGATCGCTAACCCTTGTGTTCGCGCAGATGAGAAGTGGCGCCAAACGTTCCCGTGGACGGAGAGCATACGAGACACGCTGTCGCGGGTAAAGCACAAACTCACCAGTCATTTACCATCATCTTCTTCGTAGTCTAACATGGCAATCATGTATGTGCCATCGCAGGTCTACCAATTCAGGAGGTTTCGTCCAATGCAGGAGGAGGCCATCAACGCAGCACTCAGCGGTGAGGACATCTTTGTGCTGTTTACCACGGGGGCCGGCAAGAGCCTCTGCTACGAGGTGCTACTCCCCATTCTGCAAATGCGATGATGCCTTTCATTATTGCTTAACATCCACAACAGCTTCCTGCACTTTATGCGAACGGCGTCACGGTCGTCATCAGCCCGCTGAAGTCACTGATGAACGACCAGGTTGGCGCCATCAGCTTCAAGTGGCTACTTGTCACTGTTTTGTGCTAACATCAATAATGTTCTATGTTTGTGACGGATGGGCAGCACAACCATCTGGCGTCAAGGTTCACCAGAAAGATTGCCAAGCCTCTTCACAGCGACCTTTCAAGCGCCCAGCGTGATGAAATCCTTCAAGGCAAGCAAACCACCAAACTTGGTCTTTCTTGCTCTTAACTTTCTGACACATTGCTTGGGGGACAGAACTGCGGGATGGTGCTGCAACCTCCCGCTTGCAGCTGAAGCTGTGTTATGTTGCACCAGAGACCTTCTTCCAGCCTTATGCACAAGAGGTATTCAAGGTACAGACACACCCCAGTTTCATCTGATATCAGCATTGCCTTGACCCTGACTCTTGTGGTTTTGGTCAGCAGAAATTGCATGACAGGGGCTGCTTGGCCCGATTTGTGGTGGATGAGGCTCATGTACTCCATGAGTGGGAGCATTTCCGCCCCCAATACATGGTATGTTTCTGCTTGGCACACACACACAGGCACATGCCCACACAACACAGCATTACTCACTTATCTGCTTGGCATAGAATTTGAGCCAATTGAGGGAAAAGTTTCCACATGTGCCCATCACCACTACAACAGCAACTGCGCCTCCCCCAGTAATTGAGAAAGTCTGTGAAAACCTCCATCTCCATGATCCCATCTTCTTCATCAATAACCCACCAAGAAGAGAACTGAGGTACAGACCCTATCCTTTTTTTTTTTTTTTTACTTCAGCTAATCAATGTGACTCATTCACTGTGGTGTGGTGTGTGTGGTCAGTCTGTCTGTGATTGATCGCACTCATGGGGAGCAGCAACTGATAGAGTGGATCAAGGCAAACTGGCCTGATGACTGTGGCATTGTCTATGCCCTCACGGTTGGAACAGTCAATTTGCTCTGCAAGGCCCTCCAGGTTGTCCCCTTCAACTGCACAAACTGAACCACACCAACTCACTTTTGCACCTCCTACTTTTGCTTGCTTCAGAACGCAGGCATTGCTGCAGGAAAATACTACCAGAAAGAGGACAACAAGGACTACATACATGTACCAACATCCTTTGCCACCATGAATGAATCTGCATCAAGTAATGCCTCTCTTCTCTCTATCAGGACCAGTGGATGGCGGATGAACTCAAGGTCATTGTTGCCACCTCTGCCTTTGGCATGGGTACAAAGATGTTTGTTGCTTCATTGTTGCTGATCTGATGACAATAATGTGTGGTTGTGGCTGTGGGCCAGGTAA